ATGGTTTCAAACCCAAAACCAAAAACATATGTAAACTCTCAAGTCATGGCAATGGCCTCTGGTGAGCCTTCCTGGATGCTTGCCACAAGCTTGATGGTGCATGTAGCAGAGCAGAACTGTCATCGAAATGGCACATGTCTGCGAAAATTGCCAGTACGCGTGCAGCTTTGCAAAGTCCTTTTGTCGGACACAATCTGACCACACATTGCTACCTGGTTGGCAACCCCTCTGAAAAACATTAGTCAGTTGGAATGATTATTCCCAATATATGGAAAAATAGAAAATGTTCCAAACCACCAACCAGCTACAATTGTCTGCCACAATGTTTTAATCCCAAACCCCCAGTACTACACCCCCGCATTCTATGGTCCCGAACGTGTACATCCCCTACATCCACGATGATTTAAGTGGGGCGTGTTTTTATTAAAGTACAGTACTTTTTCTCATGATGAATGCCCCAAGCTAGTGGCTTAAACCATGATTTCTGGAAACATCAAGACCATGCTGAATGGAGCTCAAACATATGTTTGTATATATACCCTCTGGTTATTTAACATAGCCATGGAAAATGGCCCATTTATAGATGATTTACCTATTAAAAATTGTGATTTTCCATGGTATATGTTAAATAACCAGAGGGTATACATATATGTATTAAATAAGACCGGAGCAAAATATGTCTGCCATTGGGAACAATGATCCCAATGATAGACGAACGCAGACAAAAAATGACACCACCATATTTAAACAATTATGGTTACCGTTGCTTACTTAGATTTGATGCTCAAGCGAGCAGCGTTCAAAACCCTGTGTCGTCCCTTCATATATACTGATTAGTTGATGGGGATTCCCCGTTCATGAATTGTGATGTTCGCCATGATATTGTGTCCAAACAAATCCCAAAAACAAACCATCAACCATCATTCAATCGTTTAAATTCGTCTACATCCTGATCAAGTTTGATGGTTAAAACCTGCGACGAACTAAAGATTATCATTTGCTGATGATGATGGTTGATGGTTATGATGGGTTGATCAACCATTTAATCATCATATGATGGTTTAAGCATCAGCCATTTTGCTATGAAAAATCTTTGATAATCACCGCGTTGGTGGTTTTACCCTCTGGTAAACGTTTACATAACCATTGAAAGTGGCCCATAGAATTAGTTGATTTACCTATTAACAATGGGTGGATTTTCCATAGTTTTTTGTAAACGTTTACCAGAGGGTAACCATAATATAGTCCATTAAATCCCATTAAATCCTAATTAATCACAATAAGTCTCCATGAAATCACATAGTTATGTAAACGTTTACCAGAGGGTAACAACCACTGCTCGCTCGAACTTCTCTTGGCTTCCCGGACCGCTTCCTTCATCGCCTTTTTGTCCTGGAGAGAGGCTGTTTTGGATCCCAAGGATGGGCGGAGCTTTACCGGTCTTCCACTTGTTTGCTACAGATATATATATATATATATACATTGTAAATGGTAGAGAACTCTCTGTTGGAACTGCAGTGGTCTGATCAGGCTTTGAATGTAGGAAACTGTATGAAACCCTGTCCAATGAATGTCCCCTTCACCCAGCCAAATGGGATCGCACTGTCTATGTTTTCTGCCCTGCCGCAAACACTGAAATCACTGCACCACGAGTGGAAGGACGGCCGCGTCCAAAACTCTGAAGCACCCTGTGCTATCACGTGCACCGAAGCAAATGGCTCTAAGGTGGACAAATCCCACCCTCCCGCTGCCAGGCAATCCGAGCCTTGACACCTGCGGTTGAACATCAAGTGGTTATTGCTGGACCTGGAGATAGCCCAAGGGATTGTATGGTACTTGCACAAATGGAAATCACACTCCCAAAAAAATGTTTTTCTTTTGTTTTGGAAAAACACTCAAGCAAGTGAAAGATTTATGCAGGTATGTGATCGCTCTGGCTGTTTCCATTTTGGGCTTTCAACCATTTGAGTCTATCTTTTGACCTGGCTCTTTCCTTGAGGGTGGCATCTTCGTCACTGAGGCGGTAAAACCCATATTTCAAGGTTTCCCTCAGAAAGTGGGATTCCATGGACTTCGTCAAGCTGTCTGCTAACTGAGCTCCACTTGGTACCCATCGCAGCATTGTGCCCTCCTTGAGTGATTCCTTTATTGATCTAGCCATTAGTTGAACCCTGAACTCAGAACAACTAGGAGGGGCTGTCCGGGTTATCAAGTCATAAAGGCTTTTGCAATCGGTGATTGCAACATCATTTTCAGGAATCAAGGTAGGGACCGTAATCGCTGGTTCGAGTTTTGGAAGAGTCTCTTCTGGCTTTTTCCAGTTCACCCGAGGGTCATGGATCCAGCTCCAAAACAAGCGAAGCCACGAAAGCTGGTCAAGGGTTGTGGCTAGTGCCATCGTTTCTGCTGACAACGTGCTTGTCACCACCTTCTGAATTTTGCGACAACCCCATGTGAGCGGACTGATAGGACACTCAAGTCCTCGGCTGATGTCTTGGTGAGTTCCTACTATGATGGAGCCAGCGTGGGAATCAGGTTTCTTGACTGATGAGAATGAAGCATCTGAAAACGCCATAAGTTGAAATTGTTGTACTGGAATGGATTTGATGGTTATGGTAACATCGTGGTTGCGCTTGGCTTCGTGAAGAACTCGGTTGGCTTCCATCAAGGTTTCCACTTTAGCTGTGTTGATTGCTGATTGGAGAAATGAAAGTTTACTTGAAAGGTCAGGTCTAGTGTTGATTGCTGCGTATTGTAAACTCCCGATGAGCCCTCGCAGGGACAGCCTCTCGGATTCGTTGACGGGTAATTCAGGCTGGGATTTTCGGTTGGATTCTATGGTGATTGAGGGGATCTTCCTGACATATGATGATTGACTCAAGGATATGTTGTAATTGGTATGTTGGGTGACTTCGATTCCAGTGAAAGTGAAAGCTGAAATTTTGTGAGAACCAAAGGCAAACTTTTGTTCTAGTTGGTGGATCTTTTCTTCGAAGTAAGAACTTCCTCCTCCAATCCCATCGTCTACATGTATCCCCAGGATCCCTTCTAGTTTACCTGGTTGGTCACCTTGGGGTGGTGATCGTAGCACGAAACAGCAGGGATCGAACGGCGAAGTCTCAAATCCAAGTCGTGTGAGTTCTGTCACCAAGGCACAGTACCACAAGTATGGCGCATCTATGAGTCCATATGCTCCTTTGTTCAGTTTGCAGATCTCTTGTGGTTTCAGTTGGAGTGCACGTCTCAACTCTGGAACAGGGTCTACTGCTATTATCCTATCGGCTTGGGGCTTACCCTGAAGAAAAGCTGCTTTTATGTCGAAGGATCGTAGTTTCCATGCATGGGATGAGATTACTTGAAGAGCTATCATGCGTGATGTTTTATTAAGGGTCGGGCTATCACGTGGGATTTCTTCTATGCGGGGATCAAGATATCCCAGAACCACTAGTCTTGCCTTGGCTTTGTGACTCTTCTGGTGGTTATTGGATTCTTCATTTTCCCCTACATTGTCAATTGGTTTCCAAGTAAGTATCCATCGGCACCTAAGAATCTGTTCTTCTGGGATTTGATCTCTTAGAATCGCGCTGATGGTACTTGTTTTGATCCAATTTTGAATCTCACTGTCTTTGGCCTTTTCGAACTCTTTGATCTCTTCTGGGCTCAACGTTGACAATTTTACTTCTGTTCTTTGTTTCTTGGAGGAGGTTGCCAACATAATCCAACTCTTCTCTTCATCATTTTGGTCTTGACTTAGTGAGGCATGTCTTGGGATTTCGAACTCACATCTCCATGCTAGGGATTCTTCAGCATGACACGTCAGTGCATGGTCTACTTCCTGGCACGCAAGTTGGATCACTTCGGTCGTTGCAAGTATTGGATCATCATTGGTCATTTCTGCATTGGGAACGGCGTGTTCAGTTTGAGAACCTTCGGATGTAAAATCTTCTGGCTCTGGCTGTAGAGATCCATCTATGCTTTCGGAATTTTCTGAGTTATTGGGGTTCAGGTTATTGGGATTTGGGACTATTGGATTGGGTGTCTCCTCTTGACGGTTACTTTCTAGTGGAATTTCTGTGGAAGTGTCTTGAACTTCTGTGGTCTGTTGCATTCGATGAATCTGTTGGGTCAGTGGTGTGATGTCTTCAGGTAACTCAGGGCCTTCTGGATGACCCTCTTCCGGGCATGCTTTGCGGGTATTTTCAGGGGCACTTCTATGGAGGTTCCCATTTGCCGTGCACCATACCGTGTGGTTATCATCTTGGAGGACTACCCGAAAAGGACCCTGCCATCTAGCTTGTTTTAGGGGATTTGATTTCCATATCATAACCCAATCACCCTTTGCAAACTGACCTCGGGACGGGCATGCCCTGCGCAGTGCAGCACGTCTCAACACTTCATTGTTGTCGGCTGAGTGGAAAGCTCGCCGAGCGGCTTCTCGCAAGGCTAGCATTTTTCGAAAGTCTTGGCTTGCTAAGGATTGGTTTTCATCCGTTGCATGTTCATGGGCTGGTATGGATTCGTCACTGAGCACTGAACCGGGGATTCTTGAGTGCTTACCAAAAACTATTACCTCAGGAGCATATCCATGGCGGATGCTTAAGGAATTCTTGGCATGGGTGCATTGGTTCAGGGCACTCTGGAGAGATGCATAGTCATTGATTGGATGTTCAAAATCAACTTTCTCCAACATGCATTGCAAGAAGCCTCCATGACGCTCAATGCGTCCGCTTTGCCAGTGGGCATCTGGCACCGTGGTCGTGCTTCGGATGTTGAAGCGCTGCAGGAACGTCGCAAATTCTGAGCTATTCATCTCAGTCCCAGAGTCCACCGTGATCTCAGATGGTGGTCCAGCCCAGCTGATCCAGTGTTGATTGATCAGGTTGATGAGATCTTCTGATGTTTTGGAGGGTGCAACAATCGCAACATGGTAGTTGGTTCCTGCATCCAAGAGGTGGTAAAAGTGAAAGGTTTTGTTCATTTTGTTGGTCCATGTGATTCCATCAAGGTATATTTTGTGGTTGAAATCCATCATGGTTTTCAGGGATGCTGGTCTGGCATGTTTGGGGAGCCGTGGCTGCACATGTCGCACATCGAATTTCCAAAGCTGCCTGAACCATTTCTGGTCTCGCTCCACTTACCTGGAGTGCTCTTGACAAGCGATCATTAGATGGGTGGCCAAGGTTCTTATGCATGCGGATGATGGCTTGTTGTTCCCACTTTGGCAAACCCAAAAATCGTGGTCCATGTTGGGTGCTTTCGCACTCCGGTAGTGGCCTCGAGGCCGCAGAGGAGTGGGTATTGGATCCTTCCTCCGCTCTGGCTTCTGGGTAACTTGAAGGCATCGATTTGGCGTGCATCTTGGGAACATTCTCCACTGGCTCCATATTCGGTGGTTTGGTCACTTGCACAGGAATTACATTGCTTGGAGAAAGGCCCTCTTCGGAGCCTGGTTTCTCACTGCAGGCAGGTGGCTCATGCAAGTGACTCTCGAATTGGTCTATATTGGGCGCCGGATGCATCTCAGCTTTTGCAGGATCTGGTGTTGCTTCTTCCTGACATCCCTGATCTAACTTACTTTGAGGCTTCGGGATCTCCGTAGATTTGGGGTCAACTGCAAACACCGTGATGTTGATTCGACAGGAATGAGATGGTCTTATTAACTGTCGTTTAGATAACTCTATCCATCTCTCCCAGTGAGCTTCAAAACGAACTTCTCCAGTCCTACTCAGCATGAGCATCTTTCGGAATGGTGCTTCCTGAGGATGCATTCCGGGAGGTGGTGCCATTGTTCTGTCAGTACCCCTGCATGCCATCACTCGGTGGATTCGTTTGTCAGGAAATACATTCTTCAACATGTTCAACACAGCTTGGTCGGTGATCTCTGTTTTTCCTACTCTGGGCAGGTGGTTCCCTACTGCTTGAATGGCTTCCTGACACATCTCCAGAGTTGGCAACAAGGTTTGGTTGGGATCCGTTTTGGATCTCTTGGCACCTTCTTTTGATCGGGCAAGCGGAGACAACACTTCCGATTTTGGAAAACTTGGAGGTTTCCGGACTTTCGTCACTGCCAGGCTCGGCTCATCCGTTGGAACTCCGACATTGGCGGTTGCAAAGCAAAGCATTCCTGGTTGCCAGTTATATGGCCAGCATTGGTTACCTTTGCCTAACACCTGAGCAACAGTTCTTGCAAACCGCCGTGGGTAGATCTCGGTATATTGGGTCCTCAGCATGCTTTGTCCGTTCTTGACACGGCATGAACCTTCGATAGCCTGGTGGTCATGGCGATGGTCACAACACATTCCATGAAGTTGTTGGAAAAGAGGCGCAAACGTGGTTAACAGGGTCATTCCCTTTTGCATGAACATTCCGTTCTCTGGGTCCTTGAGATGTCCAACCCGACACATATCGAATTGGCAGGCTTGAGTATGTTCATGGACTTCCGCAAGGAGGGGTGTCTGAAACATCAATGACCGCTTTGGTTGTTCCCAGTGGAAATGCTTACTAAGTGACACTTGATGTCGGTATAGGACAATTCCCAGGGCTAATTGATACAGCAAGTCATGTCGTTTCTTCTCATACTCATCATGGTGTTGCATGGACCTAGAGGCATTCAACTGTGACCATGCTGACCAGGGTCCACAGGTGGGACTGTACCAGACATGAGTTGGTCGGTGTCTGGCCATCAACCGGAACAATTCCTTCCTGCCGGATGCTTGGGCTAAATCTCCCTGCATGTATCCGAACCGGAAAGCTGACTTGCCAAGCTGAAGCATTTGATGGGTCAACGGTGAGTTACTACTGCACATTACTTCACCAAGTTCATAGGGTTTTCCCATGGGTGTTGTTTGGTAGATGATCTCTTGAAGTTCTTGATTGAATTGTTGAATGAGATGTTTCATGTGTTTTGCTTCATGGTGCATAGCTGTCAGCACTGATTCATCCCAGTCCTCTCTCACTTGTCCTGGTCCTCGGCATTGATCTGGTCCGGGTTGGTCTGCTGCTCCAAATGCTGGATGACTCTGGTCAATGCGTTCTCCATGTTCAGCATTCGAGCTTGCATTGCCATCCAGTCCTCGGAGGCTGGAAGAGCTCGATGATCCATAATCGCTGGCTCGTACATCTCGGAAGGAATGTCCCAGTCGCTCTCTCCCAGCGAAGAGATGAGAGAAGGAGCAGCGTGGGACTTGGCTGTGGCCTTGGCTTTGGCTTGAGGACGGTTGAGGCCTCCCACTTGGCTGCCTCGGGGAATCACCCCTTGGTTCTGTTCCAGAGCCTCGACCTTCAACTCGACGTACTTCATGAATCGCCTGTGGGACTCCTTCTGACTTTTCTGATAGCGATTGATCATGAACTGGATCCACTCCTGATCCTGCCAGGTGTCCTCGAAGGTGCGGCCATTGAACTTCTGTCCGAACGTCACCACCTCTGATGACAGTTCCTCCAGAGTGAGGTGGTCTACTGCCACCGGTTCCACAACTGACTGCACCTGCAACTGGCGTAGTCTTTGCGACAACGACATGACTGGACGGCGGGACTGATGGTTCGGAAGGCTTTGCAAAAGGTCTTGCCTGGTCAGTGGCTGTCGGTCGATCGATTTCCTGAGACGCTTGAATATCACTGATTTCCCCACTTGCGTGAACATGACTCTTCACCTGACCTGCCTCATCATGACTGTTGATCTTTACTGCATGGGTGTGGTCTGCTGGCAGCGGTTCTTGGAGATCATTCCTTTTGGCGGTCTCTTCGGACATGAAAGTCTCGGCACAACCCTCAGTTCTGACTCTTCGGTCAGTGTGAGTATTATCCATGGTGGCCCTGATTAACTCATTGATATCCAACAAAAACAACCCTTTGGCAGTTAATTGAAGTGAAATCGGCTTTGACATCTGGGCACTGGACAATGTTTGGGTTGCGCAGTCAATCGTGGCACGCAACGTCCGCATCAACGTGTTGCTAATTAAGAATGGTGTTCCACCTGGGACTACAGCCACCTTTAATCTGAGTGAACCAATGGGCACGACCAAGGCTTCAGAACTTGTCAGAGTGGACTGGTTACCAAACTTAAACACAATGTTACATGGACATCGGGATAGCTGTCGGCGGATGTCGGGGTCCAGGCTGCGAATTAGCTCACCTAAGTGCTGGCTACCAATCACTGTCTTCGATGCACCTAGGTCCAGGATTCCATGTGAACCATGCGACGCGAAACAAGCGGTGGCACTTTCTGGTTGTTCTGACATGACAATGGTCGGTTTCGTCTTTGATGGAACCCTCGGCATGGAGTGGACATCAGGTTGATGTCTCGGAAATCTGGCATGGTGGAGAGACTTGTTCCCTCTCAGAACGCAAAAGCTTCTATTCAGTGTGCAGGCAACATTGGCATTCGGTCGGGGCTCATGGCTTTCACTCCTGAGGCCCCATGATTGCAAACGGGCTTTTGCAGTCGGCTTGGTAATACTATGGATCCCATTATCCCCATGATATTCCCCTTGAATCATCTTAGGAAAAATAGTTCCCTTACCAAACCTGGAGTCACAAAAACTTACCAAAACTGGCACAGTGTCATCTATGGACTCTTCACCTACAGTCGGGAGATGCAAAAACTCCATGGGCATGATGTCTTCCGATCCTTCCACTGAAACTGTGGTCGTTGGCTGGCTTCCGGCTGACGTGGACGTACCTGATGGTGTCCCTGACATTGACGATCCGGATGATCTGAAAGGACACTCAGCTTTCCAATGACCCTTTCGGTTACAGTTTCTGCAGTATGAGTTCAAGATTCGATCCTGAAGGCTTCTACGGGGCTTCTGGTTCCAGCTACTTTTCCCTTTTCCACCACCTTTGGCAAAAGAGCCCTTGCCTTTGGACTGTGATGGGTTGGGACGGCTTGTATTCCAAAACCCTCGATTCTTGAACTTCTCTGTCAATCTACGACGAGCCTCGGTGTAAGTACTGTAAGCTGCGGCCAGATCACTGTCTTCCTGCAACAGTTCATTGGCTGCGGCCTCAAAATCTGAGACCAAAGCTGCATCTGTGTCGCCCTCACTCAAGAGAGCTTCGATGAACTCTTCCTCGCATTGATCTTCCTGAGCATGGTATACTTGGTCTTCATCATCATCGTGTTCTGTCACCAGAGTTGCTGAGCTGTATACCTTTTGTTTGCTGGTCGATTTCTGGCCAGTCATCTCCTGAAAGAACGTGGCACCTAAGATTCGAATTGCCTCTGACACCCGGCCTACTGTCAACTTCCCTTCAAGGCTGTTGTCAGACTCCAAAATGACCTTCTTCTTTTCCTCCGGAGTTAACGTTGAACCCCGCAGCATCACAAAAGCCTGAAGGTCCTGTATGGAAATCTTCTGCGCCAGGAATTTGCTCCAAGCAATGTCAGCTCGGGCCAGAAAACTGTCGTTCGATTCGTCCCGCATCTGAACTGTATGATAAAGGGCCTGTTCCGCCTCTTCATACTGTCGTTCCAGGCCTATGCGGCCCCAATGGCCCCCAAGCAATTCAATCACCTTTCTCACGCTCTTCTCATCGTTCTCCATGAGCTCGGCCTGGTGCAACTGGAGTTTGGAGAATGCACTGCCCTGGCAATTGAGGATGAGCCTCATCACCAGCTCTGTGATTTTCGTCTTCGGCCATGCTGCGAGCAATAGTTCAACTTTCTGTTTGTAGATTTGCAGACTGTCTTTCGATGGGTCAAACGTCGGGACCAAAGTAGTAAGCTGTGTACTAACTCCGGTGTCGGTCCGTCCGCCTTCACCATCTGATGTGGAAGCCATCACGTTGTTTCCCTGGATCCTTCTTCGGCTTGGAAAACAGGCTGTTGTTAGTAGTCAGAGCCGGAGCTCCGCTACCAATGTAAATGGTAGAGAACTCTCTGTTGGAACTGCAGTGGTCTGATCAGGCTTTGAATGTAGGAAACTGTATGAAACCCTGTCCAATGAATGTCCCCTTCACCCAGCCAAATGGGATCGCACTGTCTATGTTTTCTGCCCTGCCGCAAACACTGAAATCACTGCACCACGAGTGGAAGGACGGCCGCGTCCAAAACTCTGAAGCACCCTGTGCTATCACGTGCACCGAAGCAAATGGCTCTAAGGTGGACAAATCCCACCCTCCCGCTGCCAGGCAATCCGAGCCTTGACACCTGCGGTTGAACATCAAGTGGTTATTGCTGGACCTGGAGATAGCCCAAGGGATTGTATGGTACTTGCACAAATGGAAATCACAATACATATATATATATACATATATATATATACAGCAAGTCAAAAAAAAACATAGAAACGTAATTTTCATCATTTGAGGTCAAACAAAAATAGAAACGTCATGTTCATAAACGATCTTTTTTCGAGGTCCTCCATATGTGTTCTACAAATGTTCGGAATTTGTTTCGCAGAAGCTTCTACGGCCTGGCATAAAGTCTGCTGAACATATCCCATCCATACTGAAAACATTTATTCACCATTAGATCACCAAAAATATAAACTCTGGTAAACGTTTACATAACTACGGAAAATCACAATTTTCAATGGGTAAATCCACTATAAATACTGATATACCCTCTGGTAAACATACAAAAAGCTATTGAAAATGGCCATAGAAATAGTTGATTTACCCATTAAAAATGGTGATTTTCCATAGTTATGTTAGTTTACCAGAGGGTATCAACCAGTATCACATGATATCCCCACGGAAAGAAATGTATTCCCATGACGATGCCAGCGTATCCCCCTGATATACCCACATTATATCTATATATATATATATCCCAATATATCCCCATTATATCCTTATGATAACACAATATATCAACCCATTCATGATTTATTCCCACAAGGTGGTGCCCCATAGCTAGCTTGGTTTCAAACTCCAAATTCACTTGTGGGTTTATGGTGTGTATATGGTGTATATATATATATATAACCCTCTGGTATATTAACATAGACCCTGGCAGTTGTCGGGGTTGGAAGACTAGTTTCCATTAAAGATTGGTGATTTTCAGGGTCTATGTGACAATTTACCAGGGGGGTATATTTATTTAAAGTTCAGCTTAGGTTTACAAGCCAGCAAACACAACTGGAGGGGGCACCACCATGACCACTCCGGCACCTTGCCATTGGCGCGTTTGCACCAGGCCGTATAGTTACAGGGCGTTGTCCCCACAGCCAAGATGTCATCCTGGCGGTCATCCCAGCGGAAAGTCACCATGGAATTAAAGCAAGGTTAGGGTAACTGGGGTCAGTTACACCCAATTGATCCCAATTCTATGGATTCTATATGATTCTATGTTCATGCACTAATCCAATGGATTTTTTTCGTATGAAATCCACGACTACTTGTTATTCGTGGCTATAGAAAAACTGGGCTTCCATTTATTCATGGGATCCTCCAAGCCAATCTTTGGTAATGTTGGTGAAGGGCTTGGTTTTTATTGGATATCCTTTTCAATGCTTATACGATTATCAAACAAACAATGGTTATACCATGATCAATTATATATTATATATATACTAATGTTACCAATATAGTCTACTTAGATATGTCAACACATCGATGACTATAATCCATCTGGAAAACGTGTTTCTCAGTCAAAATCGGGTGGATCTTTGCCGAAACTCAAGCCAGAAATCAAAATCCCATTTCGAACATGTCGAGATCATTTTCGGGGGGAAGTAGTGTTTTTCATTTCTCCGCACCTATGTTAGGTTACAATGTGAGGCCCCCAAGATAGCTAAGTTGGTTTATAACTCCAATAATTGTGGTTTATGGTATTGATAACTATAGTTGCTGGTGTTTATAAACCAACTTATAATTGGGGGGGCCCACATTGTATGTTAGGTTACTTGTTTGGCATATCTCAGATGTATCACTAGGTCGATGCATGATTTGTTGAGAAACAGCTTGGGCCCTTGGTTCGGTGCAGACCGTCCTTATATGTCGTTCTCACGTATTCATAGTTCAAATAGCTAAATGATACCATCTTACGAGATTTACCCTCAGGTAAACGTTTACATAACTATGGAAAGATCCACCATTTTCAATTGGTAAATTCACTATTTCTATGGCCATGTTCCAGTTCGCTTTTTGTATGTTTACCAGAGGGTATATTTTTGGTGATATAATGGTGAATAAATGTAATCCATAATACCATGATATGCATATCCATCTTACCAAAAAATACCATAATACCATGATAGGCCATTTTACCATAGATTTACCATATTACCATAGTTCAAATAGCTAAATGATAGCTATGGTAGTTCGATGGCTTATTGAGTTCGATTCGATTTGCCTATTCAACATGCTGTGACCAGGGGCTATCGAAGAAATGACCAGGGGCTATGCCTAAATATACTTCATATATCACACTATATCACTTCCTAAGCGAAACCATGGGTTTTCCAGATTTTTCTGTTTCACATTTATATGTTCATTTTTTGTTGCTTAAATATGTTTAAATCCCTATTCATCACCATCAAAACCGGTTAAAATCCCATTGGCTGCCATGAAATGCCATTCAAATCCCATGTAAACCCCATGTAAATCCCATGTAAATCCCATGTACCATCTGGTTATTTAACATAGCCATGGAAGATCCACCCATTTTTAAGAACGGTAAACCATCTATTTCTATGGGCCATCGAAATCCCATGGCTACGTTAGTCATAACCAGATGGTGAATCCCATGATCATCCCATTCTTCACCATTGTTAACCCATTGTTGAACCATGAAAAATCACCATTTATAGTGGTTAAATATCCCATTAGATCCCATGTAAATCCCATGTAAATTAACATAGACCTGGTAGATAGGGGTTGGAAGATTAGTGTAAATCCCACTTTTCTTGGCTAAATCATGATGAAGGTTTCCCTGCCCCCTCCGTCCAGGCGCTCCTTGGGAGGTGTACAGCTGGGTTCCGCCTTGATCCACTCCCAGGTCTCAGTCCCTGATCCGAAGATGGGGACATCTTGGGGATAGATCAACATTTACATATACAATTTACATAAAATGTAATATGTCATGTATATCATATTATATATATATGATATATATATATAATGTATAAAATGATATCTCATATATTGCAGATACCGCCTATAGCGGCCAGGTCCCCGTTTTCGCTCCAGATGGCTCCGGTATGGATGCCTATGACATGAGATGCATGAAATTTGCACCCCCTGTGCTACGCGTCCGCTTTGAACCGGACTAGTAGCATGGAAAAGTAGCGGAGCCTGGCCAGGTCACTTGATCAATTTATGACCCGTCCGGCCGCTCACTGTGAAACCCAGTCGCTGCAAATGCGACTGAATGATGCCTCTGGTTTGAACCTTCGTCACCAAATCGCTGTCATTCACCGGCCCCTTGATCTTCTCAACTTCTAACTCCTTTTCGGCCACTTTGTCCTGCAGCCAAAGGAATTTCGCCTGTATGTGGCGACTCTGCCCCACGCCACGTCTTTCGCTCAAGGCTTTGGCGCTGCTGCTGTCCACCCGCAATCTTGTGGACCTCGTTCTCCAACCCCAAAAGTCGAAGATGCCCCTGACAAACTCGGCCAACGTCGCCGTCCTCGCCATAGCATAGTACTCGCTCTCCGCACTGGATAGTGCAACCACCTTTTGGCTCGACCCCTTAACCAACAGGGTGTGATCACCAAACTTGATCACAGATCCTGAAGTGGACCTTCTGGTCTTCAGGTCGCCAGCCCAGTCGGAGTCGCTAAAGGCGATCACCCCGGCATTCTCAAGCGTCTGCTTGTAGAAGATCCTTTTGAGGTACGGGTACTTCAGCAAATAGCGCACCACCTTCTTGAGCTTCAACCAATCGTTCATCTTGGGCCCCTTCATTGCTCCTGCCAACGTTCTGACCGAATGGCAAAGGTCAGGCCTGTCAGAAGACAAGTAGGCCATCCTCATGACCATAGACCTGAACTGACTGGACTGTTTTGCGTCCAGGCAAGGCTGTCTCTCAGTCTCCAGGAAGTCCACCTGCGTAGGCTTGTCCTCAGGAATGTCACATCCCTTTGTTCGATCATCGAAGCCGAAGTCCTTCACCAGCAAGTCAACGTGTCTTGCATCAGCTTCGATCTCCAAACGTTCACCTCCTTCCGCTCCATCTGGATAGTAACGGACCAAACGATTGAGAAAGAACATCTCCTGTGCCTCATTGCCATCTTTGCCAAGCAAGGCTTCCCATCTAGCCGTGTACTTGGCATTCAAGATCTCATCAAACCAACGTAGTTCCTCTTCGCTCCCCACCAAAAGGAAGTCATCACCATGCACCAAACCCATCATGTTCTTCACCTGGAAAACTGCTGGGCACAGTGCACTGAACTGTGCACCCTGGCTTTTCAACCAGCACTGGTAATCCTTCTGGAAGATTTGAGACGCATCTTGCGTCCCGTACATGCTGCGCAGCAGCCTGCCAACCATCGGAACTTCATCTTCAGGCTGGTGCTTGTCCTCCTCGGGGAGCTCCACGAAGATCTCCCTGGCTGCCTTGCCCATGAAGTGAGCTCGTGACACATCCCAAGCTGCCATCATCTTGCGAACTTCTCCACGTTCACGGCGTGTCATGAAAGCACTCATCAGCGCGTAGACACTCTCCAAAGGCGGAGTTGCAGCAAATGTATCAGCTCCAAGTTGTTCAGCAAGTGGTTTTGCTCGCTTGATCTCCTTCGCCACCAAGCGACTTCTGATTTTGGGAGCTGTGTGATCTCCCTTGTTGACATCCACCCATTTGAGTGGGAGAGGTTTGCCCTGACACTCTGATGCAGGCACCCTCTCATACACCTTTTCTTTCCTCAACCAATCCAGCTCTTCCTGACGAGCCTTTGCAACCAAGTCTGGATCCAACAGCTGTCCTGACGAATCATCCACGAACTTGGCCACTTCCTCATCCCAGGCCACGGCGTCATCTGGCACTGGCCCACCAACCATCTCCTCAATGGCACTGATGTGCCCATCCTTCTCCAACTACCTCTTCAAACCTCGAAGTATGGCCTCACAAAGTTTCGGAGGATAGACTTGTGCTGCTCGAGCTCGGGCTGCACCAATGAGATGAACATGTCGATGTGGTTCTTCTCCAGGCACATAGTTGTTGCACACCCCTCGAAGCTCCTCAGCAATCATCTCACTGTTCGTCATCCAATAGGTCTCCTTCCGAACATGCCCCAAGTTGCCATCATCATCAGGAAGCATCATCTCGAATCGGCACATTGGGCTCTGGACCAGAAACGTGTCCGGCTGCTCCACCATCTCCAAGGTTTCCTTCTCACTCCAACTTGTGCTCTCCTTCGGATGCTCGTGAAGGTAGTAACCTCCCAAAGACTTCTGATGCTTGCAGCACTTCAAAGACCTCGACAATCTCATCTTTCCCAATCAGCCTCCACCACATCAGCTGGTCGTTTGAAGTTGCTCAGCCGACGTAATGGTGAAAATGTTGTGCACGGAGGGGAACTTGTTACCAGCCACGGTTGTTCCATTGAGATCAGCTCCAACGCCTGCTCGAAGTCCTCCTGTTTGTCCAAGTCCCAATAGCTGGACCCATCAGGCTTGAGCTCCTCAAGGTCTATGGCCGCCCCCTTCCTCAAACCAAACCTTTCCACCATCTGATTCAAACGCTTGGGTGAAAACACCTCAATCACATCCATCGCCGCCAAGTCTGCAATCATCTTGGCCGACTCGAAGCTTCCCATCACCTCCGTCATGGCCCTGATTGAAGCCTCCTTCATGCTGCTCTCAGCCTCAGACTCCTTCAGCAGGTCCTCCACATCCAAAGGCTCATCAGCTTTCCGCTTCTGGCCACCTGAAGGTAGTGAATCTCCCAGGCGAGTGGGCTCTCCTCCGGCCGCCTCAACCGAGGGCACAGGCTCTCCTCCAGCCGCGTCTCCTCGGGAGGTCGGGCCAAAAGCCACATCAGCCATGGGCTCTGCTACCTCAGTCTGCTGTCGCTCCTCCTCTCTCAGCCTTTTGATCTCGGCCTTCTCCCTCTGGAACTCATCATCAACGTTGCGCTTGATGCGCATTCTGCATTCCTCACTGTGGGCAATCTGCTGAAACCCAGCACCTCTTGCCACACTGGCACACCCTGGGCAACCCGTAGTTTTCCCAAACTTCGCCAAGTGCTCCCTGCGAACTGGCCATGCCTTCTTTGAACTTGGTGTCCCAGGTGCGCTGCCACTTGGTGCGCCAACCATCGGAGACTTGTCAACCATCTCCTCGGCCTGTTGTTGAACTTCTCCAGCTTGACCAACTTGTTGAGCTTGTCCTGGAACCGGAGCTGCAATCACCACAGGCACTGGTGCTGGAAGTGCCAACTGCTCTTCCCCAGCTTGAACCTTCTTGACATAGGCCCTGACATCCCATGGTGACCCTTTGAGGTTGGTTTCCAAGTCACCCCATTTCTCGTCCTCTGCCAAAGAGTGATAGGAACTCCCAATCACCACACCGTCCTCCGTCATTCCAAGGACACTGCCAAACCTGTTGTGACAGCCAATGAATCTTGCCGATCTCATCTTCGCCAAATCACCTCGGCGTCCTTTTCCAGCAGGTTTGATCATGATGCGCTCTCCAAAGATCGGAAGAGCCTTAACCCACTTCTTTCCAGTCCGACGTTCTTCAGGTGTCTTGCCGTCGGCCCCAACACGATACCTGTTTGCCTGCTCGGCTGCATACCGAGGTATCCATGTCAGCAAAGGATGCCCTTCTGGAACTTTGCCTCCAAAACGTTTCTCAACCATCATGGTGATGGCTCTGATACGCCATTTGATTTCTTTCACTGCAGCCTCAGCCTCACCGTTTGCACGTGAATCACCTGATGGGCTCTCCTCACAGACAACCTTGGTGACAGTTGCAGCATCTCGTCCTGCGAGCTTCTTCATCTTGACCAGAGTGTGTTCACCATCACTTTTGAGAACAACCTCCTTCCATCCCAGCAACTCCAAGAACCGGGTCAAAAGCTTTTGCGCAGTGGTGTTGCCCTGACCCTTTTTCTCCAAAGCAGTTGCCATCATCATGCCCGTGGAGCGGTCTTGGACGACCAGATTGGGCTTTGCTCCTTCTTCTTCTCCAAGATAGAAGTAGTCCATGACCACAGTGTGATACGTCTCCTGGGAGTGGTCAACTCGCCTATGCTGCTTAGAGTACCCTGTTGCTGCTAGGCACTCCTGGCACCAATTGCGGAAAACCGCATGTCCCGAAGCCTCGTGTTCACGTCGTTCTTCTTCACTGGGTGTCACTGGATCCCATCCCGGCTTGGCGGGGCGAGCTTCAACTCCTTCAGAGATCTCACCGCCCTCACCGTCATCCAAGATTGCCTCCTCGATCGCACAAGCCAATCTTGTAGTAGATGGGCTCCTCCTCGGAATGGGTACCACCTCAGTTGTCACCGTTGTGCCACCAACCATATGCCTCGGCGGCTCACTCGGTGATCTTGGTGACATTTCGCCATCTGCAGTGACCTCCTCCTTCAGGTAGAAGTTGTAGATGCCATCCTCCTCAAGAACGGGGATGATTCCATCTTTTCCGAAGCGACCCACAGCCTTGTAGTAGGCCTCATTCATGGCCTTGCTCACTGGGTGGCTGGTTGGAATGATTTCACCTCCTCCAGCTCCAAGCCAAGTCATGTAGCCTTTGCCATGCATCTGCCCTGCACTGATGAGAACCTTGTGCACGTCGGCCACACTCCCATTTAGTTTTCTTCTCATCCCTGTGGTGTCACTTCCTCGAATTGTTGCTTTGCCGTAGTCCTGCACCACCTCACCAGATGCAGTCCTCAGCCTCAAAGTTCCTGGTTGTAGATCTCGAAACATCTTCTTGGGGAAGACCGTCACTGATGCGCCTGTGTCCAAGTTGCAGCATATCCAATTGGGCTCACCTGCCGCCACAGATGAAACTTCTGAAAGACTCTCATGTGCAGCAGGTTCCTCCACGTTCTCCTCTTCAGTGACATCCGGCGTCACCATGACATACTCATTGCCACTTTCATCAATCCTCACCGACCTCGATCTCGATGGTCTACTCGATGCCAGTGTTCTCCTCGGTCTCGAAGCTCTGCTTGGTCTCCTTGATGTTGTTCTTGATCTCGAAGCGTCTGGGTTGAATGGCCTCTCAACCAGTGATCTTGAAGGTGATGCTGACCTCGATCTTCTGCTTCTCCTTGAACTCCCTGGTGGGCTGTAAGAAGGACTTCTAGGAATCCTCCTGTCAACTTCTTCACCCTCTCCGACCACTGTGATTGTCGCCATCTCTACAGAGCATAGTTCCAGTCCGCTTGCAGAAGCTGGCTCAGGTTCTGGATGGCTCTCCAACGAAGATGCCGCTTTCGGCTTGGGTGGAGCTTGGGCTCCTTTTGCACCTCCTTTCCCTTTTCCATTCAGAGCCCAACAGTCGCTCTTCTTGTGTCCCGGCTTGCCGCAATGATTGCATTTGCCGGCAAACTTCCCATCCTTCTTCGGGCTTGCACTTGCTGACCTTGAACTTGAATTGTTGTTTTGGCCTCCACCTGATCCCTTACCAGACCAGCAGTCCCGTTTGCGGTGTCCAAACTTCCCGCAAAGGTCGCAGTTGCCCTCGAACTTCTGGGAAATTTTGTTGGAGCCCCCTGATCCAGCTTTGCCCCCTGAGCCACTCTTGCCCCCACCTTTGGTCCTCGCCAGACTGGAAATAGACCCTTGTACTACTCGAACCAAAGAATCAACATCCATTGGAATTGCACCTGAATGCCCCGAGCTCGACTTTGCAAAGTTGCCACTGACCACAAGTTTGCTCCCGGTCTTGGCCTCGATGAAGGTGACAATCTCCCGCTCCATCTCCTCGAAGTTCTTGAAGCGGGCAAAATTCATCAGTAAATGCTGCTCCAACTCCTTGGGGACCAACTTCTCAAGCGCGTTCATGGCCAAAGACTCAGGTAGAGGTTCTCGAATTCCCAGTTGATCCCTCTTCTTGTCATAGCGGATCCTCAAGGCTTTCCACCGTTCCAAGGCACTTTGCAACGTGTCATACGTCGCCCTCTCTGGATTGGTCAATGCATGGAGCATGACCCTCTTCCTGCTGCCGGTTGCTGGGTCGAACCGACGATGCAAACATCGCCATGCGTCCAAGCCAGCACCAGTTGCCACGTTCTCGACGATGTCAAAGGGGATGCCCTCGGTGGTCGCTCTGAGCACGCTGTACATCTGGCTGTTAAAGTCATGAACCTCGTCCCACTGGTCCAAAGGTCTGCATTGCTCCCATAGCTGTTGGCTATCTCCTCATTGGTGATCTCGCTATCAGCGGATGCCGCCCATTCCAGCACCTCCCTTGACCGTCCTCCATAGACACCGAAGACGTAGTCCTCGACCTTGACTGCCCACACCCTGAACCGTTGTTCAGCGGCTTCATCCCCCAAAACTTGGGGTTTTCCAAGACCCTTTGGGTCAAACAGTCCTTTTGGCCTTGACAACCGCTCCAGTGCTTGAGGTAGTCCTCGGAGAGCATGTAGTACTTCTTGGGCTTGAAATCCCGCAGCTGATGCCGTAGGCGACTGTGCCTGCACCGCCTCAAAGTTCATCATCCTTTCTCGCAAGGTCTGGTTCTCGGCCTGCGTCACCTGCACTTGCTGCTGCAGCTGGGTCACTATCGTCATGAGGTCCTCCATAGATGCAGCCATAGATCACACCCACAGCCACCAGGTGAATGCCAGTGCACTCGGCTAGGAGGATCCCGAAGAGCACCGCAAGCAGGTAGGGCCACCACCTCCACGAAGTCAGTCTCGGATGCGAGCCCAGGACCAGCGGCCTGCTCAGTGCCGCTCGGCCCTTTTCAGCTGCAGCGCCACCACGGCACGCTACCATGCAGATACCGCCTATAGCGGCCAGGTCCCTGTTTTCGCTCCAGATGGCTCCGGTATGGATGCCTATGACATGAGATGCATGAAATTTGCATATATATATATATGTGATATATATATATCATATATCATATATATGTGTGTGTGATATATATATATATATATCACATATAATAGATGATATATATATATGTGTTATATATATGATATATATATATATATGATATGTATATATATGATATATATATATATATATGATATGTATATATGATATGTATATATATATGATATGTATATGTATATTTTGTCCAAAAAATATAGAAAAATATATCTATATGTTGGGATTGATATAGAACTCGAACCTGATTGAAATGGGTTTCTCCAGAGAAATCTGTGTGGTAGCGTTAACCATTACCGTATATGGCTTACGGACAAGGAAACATTGGGATTGATATTGGATTTCATCAGCCGAAATTGAGGAAAACATGCAAGTTCAGTGCGGAAGATGAGTTTCTACGCCGGATTTTTGATGGTTTGATGGTACCTCCATACCCAAATCTTGTTGAAAAGACATCAGCACCGGTTAGAAACCAGCACCCGAAATCTGGGATTTGACCCCTGACCGCTGTGGAGCTGCCGGATTCCACAAAGAACATGGGGAGCTGTGAGTGATTTGTCCAACAGAAAGTGGAATGTAACTGAACTCTGGCAATTTTACCTAACATCACCTAACAGTTTAGTGGCCATTTCAAATCCCATCAAGAATCATCAAGATATACTGATGTAATCAACACTAGCAAACACTATATAGTTGGTTGTGAGCTCGCCTATGGACAATTGACCACAACATGCAAGGGCAATTGGAACCATCTTCCCGTTTCCGATAAAAGACAAAAGCTCTTGCCTGAAGACACCAACAAACCGAGTTATCCTTTATTTACCGCGACTTTCAACACATCCGAAGATCCATGGCCAATCTTAGATACCCTGGTTAGGATTCACCCAGTCGATTGACCTAGATTTGTAGATCATTTTCCATTAGTCACCATTAATATACCCTTAATCATCATCATATAACCATCCTTAATCATTGCTATTAATGATCATTAAATACCATCTTAATACCATTGCTTCGTCCATCAACGTTATTTTTTTTCATTGGACGAAGCATCCTGCCGCCATCTGCCGCCCCAGCCTCCGCTCTTATGCACCACACCCCAGAAGAGGTCTGCGATTCCTTCTCGAATGCCTTCCTCCACGCCTCTTGACAAGGCAATGCATTGAACCCCCCAAAAGAGGAACGTGAATCACCTTTTCAGGAAGTCTCTGAAAGTCTAGGGATTGGGATTCAACATGGTCTAGTGTAAGTTAAGTTTAATGAGCCGATTTCAAACCATATCAAACGATATTAATTAAGCATAATTAAGCCATATCAAACCAAGTTTAATCATCCGAACAAGGTAAAGAATCTTCAAAAGCACCCCAATATAGTTATAAAATGTTATAAAACAGATGTGTGAAAATATGAGTAATAAACCAAGGGCACCACGTGAGCCGATGATCGCATTTTTTTCTGCAACTTCTTTCCGTATGTCAATGTCACAGTCATGGTGGTCTGACCCCCATACCTTAACCAGGGATCAAACATGGAATTCAGTGGCATATACGACCGCACCAGCATATTTTAGGTCTTTACCACCCAGGCCGGACCATGCTCACCTCTAAAAAACAGCCCCACCATGCCCCGCCTTGCCCCGCCACTCATAATTCCACTGAAAACCAAAAAAAATCGGGGTGCTCCCGCTTTACCACCCATGTATCGATGAATCTTCCATTTTAATGTCCATTGGGGATTTCCGAATTGTTGGATTGCCATCTTTCCGGTGCCTTTCATCTGCACGCTGTCGGACTGAATCACCGTCTTGTTGACATCGAAATGCAGCAGCAAAGGCACCTGCACGTGCCGCGATTTTTTTGAGTCGGTTCAGAGTGAGAGCCGGAGGTACCATAATTTTAGTTTGGGTTTATTGTGTTGTCTATTTCTTGTTGATGTGTCTTTTGAAATGGACACCGATGGACACCGTGCCATCCAACCAGCTTTCTTTACCATACTGTCTCTCGTTTGAATCCCAATGCTGGCAATGTTGGTTGGCCATATCACCATTTGCATTCGTTAAACATGCAAAGAAAAAAGGTCTGTATCCATCTACAGTATATCCCATCGTTCGCACTGTGTATATGCACAATAAGACATGTGCGTTTACGCTGTAAAAACATACGGTTTGTCAATTTAATCCCAATTGATAATTGAGTGTTCTTAAAATGGCCATTTATAGTTGATTTACCCATTAAAAATTGTGATTTTCCATAGTTATGTAAACGTTTACCAGAGGGTACCATCAAATTGTTGTTTTAACTAGAATCACAATAATGTTCGCGTTTTTGGCAGGCTAAAACCCTTGAATCTTCAAACCGGCGTCAACAATCGAAACTCTGAGCGCTTGCTGCCGCCTGCGTCTTCGAGGAAGACTCCTGGCTTCGACGCAGGGCAAGGAAGCGACAAAGGGACAGAAATCTGGGGTTTGAGCAAAATCAAGGGACATATTAAGGGAACTAACTAAATTCCCATGAAATCCCATTGATTCCCAGTAAATCCCCATGAAATCCCTATTGTTGATGGGTAAATTCCTATGAAACCCCCATTTTTGCTGGTGAAATCCGAGTCAAATTCCCCATTTCCAGCCGTCAACACGTCCGCGAGCATGTTCCGCGCCTGCGACTTCCGCGGGGCGCGCGAACTGGATGACCTGAGCGAGAGGGGATGCCGGCGGCTAACGCCACGATGGAGGGGCTGAAAAGAAATCATCCATAAACCATCCATGTTCAATGGACAATTAATGGGATGATTCATAGTAATGGATCAATTTTAATAGTAGTTGTATGATTAATATCAATTCATAATCCATTTATAGATGACAATTCCCCATTTAATATTGATGATATTGATGGTATATGGCCCCTGTGATGAACATGGATGGTTTATGGATGGTTTATTAAATATATATATATAGATTATTAATATTGATTCATAGTAGTTGTATGTAGTTGTTATATCATGCGCGAGTAGTGGTGATTAGATCCAGGAACGTTTGCTCAACGCCGCACGTTTACCCCAGGGGAAGTGACCTGCAGCTGCGGCAAGAGGCGCGCAAAACCTGTCCGCGGCCAGGTGGCCCTCCAACAAAGCCGGGACCAGAAAACCGAGCAACCTTAGGCCCTTCTCGAGCTGTCTGGAGGCTCGAGCCAAGGTGCTGGAAGACTGCAGGTCCAGGAATATAGATCGGAATTTGGCGGACCCGCTCTGCCACCGATGGCACACAGGACTGCTTTGCCAAAGCTGCGGAAGGACTAAGCTCCAAATGGGCGAGAGAAGGTTGCTGGTAAGCAACAGCGTTTTCGCACCCGCCATTCACTGTACCTTTTTGATGGTTGGAGCAATCATGCAATACATGAGAAACAATGGGAATGCAACATCACCAGCAATGTCTCGCTCATGATTTCACGAGATGAATGCAGACACATCGTTTGTTTCCATAGTGATCATAAAGTCAAGGAACTTTCTTTGATTCCAAACCATGCAACCAAAACCACCTATCAACCATTGGCTGACCATGTGTAGATCATTTATCGGTGTCTTTCCAATCATAAGAGAGGTCCGTATTTATAGCAAACCAGCGGCTGATTCCAAACCATTGGCTTCCTGTTTATAGCAACATATCAAAGTATGAAACTACCCATCCAGTTGGCTTCCCAGATTTGTTGCTTGTGTAATGTTATATCCCCATCTAATGGTTGCTTTGATCATTTATGCATTTAAGTAATTTTAAATATGTACATATCATCATATCCAAGTTTCCCCGCTGTCTCCCCATTCGAACTCCCATTCTGTCTCCACCCATCCGGAATTCATGACAGGGTGGGGCCCCAAACGATAGCCAAGTTGGTGCAAATAACTCCAACTATGGTTTATGGTAGATATATATATATATATATACACGATTATATACGTACATACATATATATATATATGTATAATATATATATATACATATATCACTATATCTATATATATATGTATAATTATATATATATATACGTATGAATCCGTATGAATATCTCGAACTAGTTACAGTAACATGTTCAGTTTATAAACCAACATCTCTGGGGGATCACGGGGTGCTTCACCTTTCAAAGGCCCATCGCGCCGTCCCCGGGTCCTCGCACTTCCCAGTTCCAGTGGCACAGAACATCGGACCGTACCGGGGCTGGCCCGGCCCTGCCGTGGTCCAGAGGCTGTTGATAGGTGGTAGAGATCTGGGTAGAGAAATCTCAGCAAGACTCAGAAATCGGATGATCAATATGTGATGTTGTTGTTTTTAAACAGTTGTTAAAACTGATAAAGACAAACCAACAACGAGAACTGGTTTCCATGGCCACAATCGTTAACGGGTGATAGGTCTTCATAAGCCATGTGGATGCTGGGCGCCCAGCATCCCAACAAAGGTGGATAAGGATCCTCTTTTGGGGACAGAATTCGAGTAGCCTCTGGTAATTTAACGTGGCTATTGGAAATGGCCCAGTCGAAATAGTTGATTTATGTTGATTTACCTATTCAAAATTAGGAACTGCTTTCTATCTGCCGATCCAAGAAAGAGACCGGGCCGGACTTTTTTGGTAGAAATTGGCTTACCAGTAACCATAATCCTCCAGGTCGGCGTTTAAAAACACGTCGCAATCTGCCCAGTGATTTCCATAGCCAGGATCCAATGTGGATGGAATCTCCCATAACCTGAAAGGGGATTCATTGAATGATAATAATCCATTGGAATGGGCTGGGGTATCCATATTTTCAGACACACCCACTTTTTCTGGTAAAAGAACTGGTGAAAAACATTGAAAAACTAGATGGAATGTCAAGCAAGCCAGTCTGTCCAACAGCTCGTTACTTGAGCCAATGAAAGTACAAAGTATGTAGATTTTCCTATTGGGACGTGGCATCAATAAGTCATCAAACATCCCTTCACCAATAGAGCACGTTGGTTGGGATTCCAACAATGGATCGTAACATTATTTAATCAGCCGGTAAAGCATATTTGACCGTTGCAAAAAAAAAAGTCGAGATCTATCAACTTTTGACTTAACAAAACATCACAAATTATCATAATCACTATAATTTAGGTAGTATAACTCCCTAGTTTTTAACCCAGCCATCGGGTACAAACTGTTCACTGCTCCAGTTTCTTCATCCCAACTGTTCATCCCGGGGCCTGCGATCAGCGGCTCAACTGTGGCTTGAAAACGTGAACATTCAAAAGTTCTCAAGGGGTACATATATCTATACATATTTGTGTACACATATATATATATATACTCTATATAATTATGTGTAGTATATGTAATTCCTGCTGTAATTATATGGTCTTGGAAGTTCTAACTTGCTTACAGATCACCATGGAGATCGGACAAGAAACATGGCATCTGTTTTTTTTTCGTAGGTGTTGAAGCTGCCACTGGTCTTACGAAGGACGTGGTGTTCATATGACTGACACCCATGAAAAACCATGGGGATCTATCCATGCAGTTCGGGCCAAAGGTTTCAGTTATCGCCGGCCGAGCCGAGTTCCATATCCTGGGCTGTTGATCATTGAAGGGGGCACCGGTGTTTTTTCTGGTTGCTGGTGCAATTTCACCATCTTGAAAAATGATGGAGTGAAAGTCAATGGGGTTGGGATGACATCCCATTTTTATGAAATGGAAAATAATCTTTAAATGTTTGAAACATTTTGAAACCACCAAGCAGTTTTAGTGTCGCAATTCCACACTTTTTGAACGCAACGAAAACACCATGCCATGCGACTTAGCGTCAGCATGGGTTGCAGGTCTCTCTGGACATGATTTTTCTTTCGCATTTCCATGGGGTGTTCCTCTAACATCCTCTACCCTCTGGTAATTTAACATAGCTATGGAAAATCACCATTTTTAATGGGAAAATCCACTATAAATGGCCATGTTCAATAGCTATGTTAAATTACCAGAGGGTAACTATCACGCGCGGACATGAGTCTCAGGTTCCAATGCACGGCGAAAATAGGCTAAAATGCAGTGCAGTTGGGCCGGATCCTCTAACTATCAAATCTGCATAAATCTGCGAAACGTCGAAACCTGAATTTTCCACACCCCCGAAACGTCCACATCTAGGGGTTGGTCCTCTGAACCGTTCATCCCCCGCCCCGCCCTGCGGCCATTTTTTTCAGCGCTCTTTTTGCAGGACGGACGGGGTGACGATGTCATTTGGAGCAACGGAATCCAGTGTGTGTTCCGGATCAGATCCCGAAGCCCAACCAGATCCATCCAGTCTGCATCCCAAAAATGAGGAGCGCCTATAAATCCCTAGAAATCCCTATAAATCCCTGCTGATTTTAAGCCAAAAAACCATCCAAAACTGAAGAACTTTTTTTGGGGGGAAGACAACGGACATCATGGAGATGTTTTGCCAACATCCATGGAGAGTTCAACTGAAAGCTCCGTGAAGGCAGCCAACGGGTTCAACTGAGAATTGGCGTTTTTTCCCAATCCAGGGGAAAAAGAGTGGAAAAATGGAGATGTTCTGACCAATCTCACATCACTGCCATCATATGGCTGCATCATGCTGCATCCAATCATGGCTGTGTCCCCCCCTTTTTCTACGCATGGATCCGTGCAATGTTCAACGTGTCTGGGCGAAAATCACAACTGCAACTCCTTTTTATTGTACCTGTTCGACATCAGGGTCCACATTCAGGGTCCAGTTGAGCGATATCTCCATCATGAACCCCTGAGACTGGGGTCTGCTCCGGAAAACACTGAGATTTCACGTGCAGCGAATTGGGAATGTCCCGGGGAGCTGTCCCCTGGCAATTTCTCGGTGGTGCGCTCGGGAATGCCTTGAAAAAACATGGCAAATCATAATAAAACCGAACTGAAATGGTAAATTCAACCACTGAATCTTTTTCAGGGTTGCTATATCCAAATTGACTAATTCATTGGTTTAAGCTGAGATCTCTAGATTTGGCCCTTCAGCCATTTTCTCATCTCAGGACACCATGATGGTCTGTGGAGAATCCAACGGCAACAGTGTGGTTTGACGGCTGGGGCGTCCGGGAGATTTGCCAACACCATAGGATAAACCCAATAAACCATCCCCAAAATCCCCATGTTACTGGGTTGGATTTCAACCATACCCGTTTTTCCATGGTAGGTCTGGTAGGCATTCGGGCTTACCACATGGGGATATCATGGGACAACGAACAAATTGGTATCGACTCAGACAGCCAATTGCTGGTTGGTGGTTTTAACCATCTTGAAAAATATGAGTTCGTCAATGGGAAGGATGATCCCATATATTATGGAAAAAATGTTTGAAACCACCAACCAGATTGGGTTTGTTTGGAACATTTAGGGGAAAACCAATGGAAAACCCGTCTCTCGCCGGGTTAATCAACAAATTTCCCCATAAAAATACCACGACTTGGAGGTATACTCAATTTTCAAACACACAGCTTCGATACTAAAGATGAAAATGGCATCCACCCAGATCCACCGCATGTTCTTCGTGGACTTTGCACTCGCGGAAACACTTTCCACTTGACGGATGCCTTTAAGGTAGGGATCTGCAGCCTGGCAAGAAACCATGCGGAGATCCAGTATTGGGGTATTTTCAGCGAGAAAAAAACACCCTGGTTGATGAATCGGGTGTTGCCTCCATTTCCTAAGCCCTGAAAAACGCTGACTTAGTCCAGAGTTGACCATGTTGACACATGTGTATACATTTGTCACCTTGGTTACCGTCGAAAAAGTTCTTCCACCGTGTAGGAGATGATCACTGGGACAAAGGGTGATTGCAAACCTGAAGTTTGGCGATATTGGTCAGCCAGTCGGGTGGCTACGGAATCTGGGAGGATTTGGACCGTGGCGATTTAATGGTGAGTGAAGCAACAATAGCTGGGAATGGGTAGATCACCAACCAATAAAGTGGGAATAGCTGGGCATATTTCATGGGAATGTTGGGGAAAATAGTGATCAACGTAATGGCAAACTCACCAAACAAATCCTGTAAGCAAGAAAAACAAACTATATGTAAACTGGGAAACTTAACTAGGCTAAGATATGGCTTTATGATGGATATATGGGGGGTTCCTGAAATAGGGGTACCCCAAAATCATCCATATTTTAGATTGGGATTTTCCCTTTGTAAACCATCCAGCTATTACGGTACCCCCAATTTAGGAAAACCCCCTATATTCATATATATATATATATATATGTTCCATGTTCCCATAGATGTCCCAAAAAAACCATGCAGATATAAAAACACATTTATGGAATATTAGGAAATCCCCATAACCCAAAAACATCTTTGGAGGTGACATCCCATCCCCCGGACCTCAAGGTCTGCCGCGCTCGGGCGTCGCGCCACAGTCGCCGCCGAAGCGTGCGGGGAAGCGCTGCCGAAGCCTAAAGGGGGAGGGGAGATGAAGAGGTCAAACGGTAAAACGGTAAAATGACGAGTTCCCCCCCGGGGTGGCTATCATTTACCTATGATATAAATATATAATAATAATGATGATAATAATAATAATGATAATGATAATAAACATATTAATAAATAATAACAATAATAAAAAAAGAAATAATAATAATAATAATATATAATGGATTGGAGAAGCAACTTATGGGGCCCCACCATTAGTGCAGACCACTTTGATCACACTGGTGTAACCTCAACCCGCCGAGATTTTGAGCTCAGGCCTTCCTCGAGATGGGCTAAACCAGTGAAACCCCAACTTTTCATGGTGAAAGTGAGCCCCTCATGGTGACTGGTTGGTGGTTTCAGCCCCTCTGAAAAATATGAGTTGGGATGATGAAATTTCCAACTGAATGGAAAGTCATAATCCATTCCATGTTTCCCACCACCAACCAGCTGAAAAATGTCCTCACGGTGAAGCCTCCATTTGGATGTGGGTCAAAACCCTGTACCCCCAGTGAACCTCAAGGTTGATGGTCATCCCTTATACCACATGATTAGTAGGTTTTGACCCATACCCATTTATATCCATTTCTTGGGGGTCAAAAAAACCCAACAAACCTCCCGAGGGGGGCGTCCAGGTCACTGGTCCAGCAGGCTCTTGTACTTCTTGCGCACCGCGTGTGACGGGACCTGGCGTTCGGCGCGGGAGGTCCCATGGAATTTTTCCTCGACGCCGGGGAAAATGGTGGATTGAAACGGTGACAAGATAGGTAATATATATATATATTAATATATATATATATATATATTAATATATAAGTTATATAAGGCTTTAAGCCATGCACAATAAATGTTGTGCTCAAATGGGGTCCCGAAAAAACCAAGACGTCTGGATCAGTGCCACGTTTTGTTTTGTGACATCAGGGTGGAGAATGACGGGTGATTCTCCCATGAGTCCCACCAAAACAAACCCGCCCGGCGCACGTATCGATAGATGGAATGAGCTAAGCAGAAGTCATTGCCATTCTTGAAAGCACTCAAATGTTCCTGGTGTCAGGCGATTTGTCCCCGAAAATGTGCGAGCATGGTTTTTGACTATCCTCAAAATTCATGAAGAGTGTTTTTTCCTGAAGTCAACACTTTGTTATAATTATGATTTAACTATCATGACAAAAAAAATGTCCCTTATCATCATCATCATCATCATCATCATCATCGTCATCATCATCATCATCATCAATCATCATCATCGTCATCATCGTCATCATCATCCTCATCATCATCATCGTCATCGCCATCGTCATCGTCATCATCATCGTCATCATCATCATGATGCAGAGCATCAAGAACAAAAACAATTTTGGATGCCATCTTTACTTCTACCCTGCAATATTACACGTGTGCATTGCTTGAGACAAGGTCATTGACGGCAGCTTTAACAGCAGAACTGCCAACATGAGACCAAAATCCTTGGCGTCCCAATGTGTGCGATTGCTCATCAGCAATCCATATTAGTGAGGCAATTGGTTTGCAAAAAAACACTCCGTTTTCAAAGGATCTCATGGATCTTGAGAAAGCACTAGTAGTACCCTCTGGTGATTCAACATAGCTCTGGAAGATCACCGTAAATCGACAGCTAACTCAAACTCATCGGTAAACATCATACGGGCCAAGGACCAAAGCTTAAACTCATCTCTAAATGGACCATGTTCCATAGCTGGTTGGTGGGTTCAAGCAACCCCTCTGAAAAATATTTGAGTGAAAGTCAGTTGGGATGATAACATTCCCAATAGATGGAAAGTCATAAAATTCCATGGTTCCAAACCAGTATTTACAACATCGAGCCAGTACCCCTCTTGAAAATATTTTAGTGAACGTCAGTTGGGATGATTCAATGATGAGATTCCCAACATTTCCCAACTAAATGGAAAGTCATAAAATTCCATGGTTCCAAGCCACCAATCAGTCATTGTGTGTCTGCTGAAAAAAGGGGCCAAGGAGATCCAATACGATCCAATCAGTGGACCGAACGCCTCCGAAAGTATGGTCCCAAGATTTGTGTCCAAAAGATATTTGCGTAAATCCCCAAGAAAAAAACACCATGGCTTTTAAGATTTGATTGCATGTTTTGTTTATATAACATGAACCGGGGGATGTACAAAAACCTAATATCACCAACAGAAATGGGGATGAAAACTAATCTGAAAACCACCTCACGGTTCGATTCCGTGCCTGGATCTCTCCTAAAATTGGAAAAACTCCTCATCGCTTCGATTCATTTCAAATCACCAGAGCCCAAGAAAGATTTTTCAAAATCTTCCCGGCGGAATCCAGAAATCCTGCAAGAAGAGCGTTTCACGCTCGTTGATGTTGGTTTCCTTGATATCAACCTGCCAAACTGTCCAAACTGTCCAAACTGGGCTGGGTCCACAACTTCGGAATGAGTTCAAATCCGTCAAATTCTGGCTTTGCCGATAAGAAGTCATACATTCTGAGTCTATCACCATCTTGCAATGGAAACTTAAACCATCTAGCGGTAAGCTGGGAAATCCACCAAAAAGATGGAGCTTTCATTGGGAAAAACATGGAAAAACTGGCTGGTGGTTGAGCTCGCCCAAGCCCTCTGAAAAATCATGGAGTGAGTGAGTGAAAGTCAGTTGGGATGATGTTCCATTCCCAATATCCTCTGGTAAACTTTACAAAAAGCTATGGAAAATCACCATTGTTAATGGCTAAATTCACTATTTCGGGCCATTTTCCAGTTCGCTTTTTGTATGTTTACCAGGGTATTGGGAAAGTCAGAAAAAAATCCATGGCCAACCAGTCACCACCAAGCAGTTTTTCATGGTGGATTTATGCATCGCCCTGATTGATGAGGCCCCCGGGTTTCCCGTGGGGGTTCCCGGGGGTTCCCGGGCCCCCCAGGTATGGTCGTTGGTTTATAACCCCCATGAAAAGTATAGTTTTCTATAGTTATATCATGTTATATCATGTTATACCTACCATAAACCATAAAAAATCAGCCACTGAAATAAGGCGTTTCTGAACGCTATCGACTGGGGACCCCATCCTGTAACAAAATCCGACGGTTTTATACTGCGCCCTGGGCGCTCTCTACTCCGGCTCTACCCCCATTTTTCGGGTGTCTGACCAGTCTTAGCATCCAATCCACCACGGCCCCCAATTCGGAAGATCCCCTTGAATCCCACGAAATCCTATGAGCCATCCTATTGGAATTCCCATGAATTCATCCATTTCAAATGCCAAATCCCACTATATAAATCCATCCCCCGAAATTCCATGTGATCTCATCCAAATCCATTTCAAATGGGGATGGGTCAAAACCTATTATTACCATATTTGGCTGAAAAACCATCCAGTAACCATCTATTTTAGGGTACCTAAAGTACTAGGGTTTTGACCCAGAACCAAATCTGAAACTCATCCAAATCCCATCCCAAAGATCTAGAAATTTCAACCTCCACCCCATCCCACCCCGGGCACCGAGGATGGAATCCGCGCGGCGTTCATGGCCTTGGCCGCCTGGGACGTCAAGGGCAAACCCACCGGCTCCGCATGGCCTCGGTGGTGACAACGAATGGTGGGTTTTTGGCAGGCTGCCCTGCTGGGAATGCTGGGATTTTCATGCGATTTACCCTCTGGTAAACGTTTACATAACTATGGAAAATCACCATTTTTAATGGGAAAATCCACTATTAATCACCATTTTCAATAGCTATGTTAAATTACCAGAGGGTAACCATCAAAAATAGGGTTTCATGGGATTCTGATGGGAGATAAATCCCGCTTGTAATTTGTGACATAGCGAACAACCAATAGAAATGGTGATGAACAACGTATAGAAATGGTGGTTTAACCACTAGAAATGGTGATTTTCCATGGTTTCATAGAGTTGATTTACCTATTAAACATGCAGATCTTCGATAGCTATGTTGGTATTACCGGATGAAACTGTGGATAATTGGGGATTTCTTCACATGATTTAGTCAACCAGAATATAGATCACCAACCAGAATAAAAATGAATGGGGGATTTCACCTACCAGATTTTTTTTGATAACCCAGTTGTTAGATGTGCCAAATCCCGAAAAATGATCCCATGATGTTAAACCAGTGTTTTTCACAGCATGATGTAATTGGGATCTCCAGGGGATTTCAGAATGGGATTTTACCAACCATTTTTTGGGAATATCATTGGAATATCGCAGGATATAGACAGCCAACTCTATATGATATATGGTTTTTCAATGGAAATCGCAGTGAACATGCGGATGTTCGATGATTTGGTCAGAAAGAAAGCCAGCCAATACGTTTGACACAGAGGATTTATGGGGGAATCAACCAACCCCCAGCCAGATGACCAGCGAAGAATCTATGATTGGGGGCTCTTCAAGCTTGGAAAATGGGGATTTGAGCATGGAAGAATCAGGAGTTGAGATGATTTAACCAATAAAAAGGATCATTCTTCAGCTAAAAAGCCAACCATGAAGAGCATATATCTCGATTTACCAAAAAAGGACCACAAAGATAATAGATCTACAGTAAGTGGTTTCAAGCGCTTTTACTCACTGTTTTTTTCTCCAGGCAGGGTAGCGGCCGGGGCGTCTGGACTTTGAGCACCGCATGGTACGACGTGGCCCCTAGCATGGTTTTCACCAATGCTTACCCTGGCTTTAAGCCAAAATGTAATTCACGAGATTCCATCGTGCAAATAAGTGAACGATATGTATGATGCAATCACAAATCAGGATGAAAGAAGCAAACCCAGCAAAGTGGGACAATTCAACTGGGCCGAGCATTCAGCTGATGACTCATGCCAAACAAATCGTCAACTAGCAGTGGATATCTCTGCACCAAATTTCTTTAAACCAACCAAATTGACAACACCTTCAGTGCTCACAAAATGGCCGTCGCACTAAAAGGTTCGTGCAAGGAAAAGGGGTTGAAGCATTGTGGCCACTGAACAAAAGGCTTCTACTTTGCAACTGCTTCCAGCCAAATCCGTAATCCAAAAGAGGACGTCTCATCAGAAAACCGGTGCATGCTGCAGATAAACACAGCGCTCTAGCCATATAGCCCGCATCATAGCCAAAGGTGTTGGCCAGAATAGCATTAGTCACTGGGTAATCAAAAGCAATGGTTTTCAGAGCAGAGAGGTATGGAATGGGCCAGATCTGACCAAGGGCCCCTGTGCTACACTGCGAAGCTCCGAAAGAAACTCCACAGATAAATGCACAACAACCTGTGGCAGAAACTATGAAGACGCCCACCCATGATCCAAAAAACGGAAGGGATGGTGGCAAAGGAAGATCGCTCCTTGCAGTATTTCGCCCTTCACACAGCCCCACAGCATCATCCCCTCAAGCAGTTGAAAATTCAGCAATCGCATTCTTCAAGCCCTGCACGAGCTTGTGCGCCATTGCAGGTTTCGATCTGGGAGCCCCACCGCGGCGGCACACCTTTCTGTAAAGCTCTTTCAGCACACTTTCCTCCTCACTGGCCAGAGTTTCCTCAAGCTCCAGCCATGTCACGGTCTTTTTGACTTTCTCATACCCATCCAGTGTGTGAAAAACTGCCATGCGATCAGGTGGTGTGAGCTGATCTTTGGTGTCTCCCAGTGCCACAGACCCATCTGGCATGTGCTGCGTGGAACCGGCTTTCAAAGGCGCACTCCTCACCCCTTCTGCAGCAATAGCACGTACTTCGGCCAAGAGAGCTTCTTTTTGAGCTTGAGCATCCCTGTCTGCCTTTTCTTTGCGGAGTGCTTCAAGCTCAGCTTGCAATCTGGAGTCCATAGCACTACTTTGGGGTAGATCCTTCCGGCTACGGCGGTTCTTGACTGATGGTGAAGAAGAACTGGATGATGATGACATGGATCTGTTGCGTCGCCGCTTCTTGTCCTTTTTGCTCTTCCTGTCTTTTCGTGAGCTGCTGCGCCCAACATGATCAACCTCAATGCGGACAGTCTGCGGCTGGAAGGGAGGGCGCTGAGACCCATCGCTCCAGTTTTGCCATCTTCCACCATTGGAGTTGCTGCCATACGATCGCTGGGACCAACCCTTACCACTATAGCCCCAGCCAGCATGCGCAAGCCACAAATGCAGGAAGAGGAGGGTCAAAACAAACTTCACCATGGCTGCTCAAAAGCTGTGCACAATTCCGCAAAGCCTATTGAGTAAGAGCAGCTCCGTCGCCACATATGTCCCTACTCATGTCTTTGAACATTTGGGCACAAACCACTGTTTTCATAAAAGCAATTTCTTCGTGAACCGAACTCTTGTACATGCTGAAAACCAAATTTCTCAAACGCCTTCGTCCAACATGTTGCCGTAAAAGGCAAACCATTTGAAAGCACAAATCTTCCTGCCACACTATTTCAGTCAGTTGCAGCTGCTGATATCTGGAAAGCCTTGCCCAAAACAAATTTCGTAGTCTTTGTTGGGTAACATCCCAGGGTGGAGGAATCCGGAAAGGTGTGCTCTTCAAACCTAGGCAAATAGTGTCCAAGTTGATTTCCATGTCCAGCCATGTCAAAGTGCGAGAGTTGGGGCCAGGGTCAAAGGGAACCTTGTAGATAAAGGCAGGAAGCGCACATAGACAGTCATAGCACCATGCACGTGAGAGAATAAGTAGATCATCAATGTATCTACGACAAACAAGCAAGTTAGTCCATCGCACCCCAGGTATAAAGAAACCAGATTGCCGTTGAGAAGATACAGATGAAGTCCATGCACTCTCATCACACGCAAGTACATATCCAGAGGCCACGCGGCTGAGTAAGCCCCCAATCGGGAGACCGCTGAGTCTGAAAACCATGTTACCCACATAACAAAAACAAACCATGACAGAAGCCCAAAAACATTGGAGGAGGTCATCAAAGCAAAAGGTCACAGATTTTAGTCGAAAAAGGCCAGCAGTGCCACCGAGGAACCCGTGAACTTTTCGAGTCTTGAGAACTGTCACAGTGTTCTGACCAGTACGCGCAGAAACATCATGCATAATCTCCCGAACAGAAGCCAAGGCATCATGGGGTTTCACCATTTCAAAGAATTGACCGGCATCACAAACAACCCCATTCAAGTCACGCTTGAGATGCCCACACCGCTGGCAAGTGTTGCAACATTGCCCAGGTTGCAATCCATGGATATCAGCAAGCAAATTGGTCGATGCACAGGACATGTCACGTACTTCGAATCCTTTACCAGAGGCTCTAAGGATGACATCCAAGCCGCGTCCAACAAACCGCCAATTCCTCCTGGCAGGCCACCTACAGTAAGAAATGACTTTGCGGCAGCATGAATGCCATAGTTTCCTACACACCCGGCCAGTACCGCCATAGCATTTTGACTTCACTGTCACATACACATATGGAAGCCACATGATATCAGCATCAAGCTGCAGCCACCTGTGCAAACCCTCCGGGACAATGCGAAGTAAAGTCAAAGCAGTGATGACATTAGCTTCCTGGACAGAAAGAGGACACTGCTTCCATGTAGGCGCCAGGATGGCATACATCAGCAACATAGTAACATAGCAAGCAGGAGGTATCAACCACATGCAAGCACGGTCCTTGTCATCTGGGACCCGCACCAAGGAATCATCACAACGCATGTCATGAGTGTATGTAGCAAACTCAACATGGGACATGTCAAGGCGGCTGGCCGCTAAGGTATATGCACGAGATGAAAACAACTCGCGTTGTGCCTTTGCAGTTGGACACTTGCAGCGACCCAGCCCTGACCAGCAACTCCAATTGTTAAGCAAGCCAACAATATCATGGCAAATTTCATGTACCGTACGCCGCTTAGCAGTGTCAATATGAGCTTCAACCTTCTTCATATTAAACCCAGACAGGCCAGCTGCCAGGGTGGCATCATCAAAATCAAGTGCGCTCCGGACATCTGCCTTGCGGGCAAACTGTGCATGCGACAGATCATCACGGAAAGTGCGCCGGCGACCCACGACCACACGCGTTTTCTTCAAGACCCATGTGCAAACGGATTTCGACCATTTCTTGCAGTTGCGCGCCATGGAAAAGGTAAGTCTACGAACAACACCAACTAAGTACTTCTCAGGCACCGTCATAGTGTACAATGCTTTGCTGGGGAGCCCTTCGAGACGCAAGATTTGCCGCACAGCTGCAAAAGCCAACCGTCTCCTCCCAGGAGCATCAATGTTTTTGCAAAGGCCGTCCAAAACCACACCAACCGAGTCACATGCCCAAGCGCGACGCAAACGACACAAGTCAAGTCGGCAAGACTTGCAAGACAGCCAAAGTGCCACAAGTCGACGCTGGCCACGCTCGTACAAATTGACAGGGCCAAACTGGCCAAAAGCTAGCCAAAAAATCTTCTGTTGGAACCTATAAGCCTCATGGAAAGACATGGACCAAAGAAAGGCACAACCATCATGTTGTTGTTGTCGCTGTCGTCCCCACAATAGTCTTTCAGCACGAGCCAACATGTTTTTCCACACAACACCGGACCATATAGATCCAACAGAAGGCACTCCAGGAGTAAGCCCTTTCTGACGGAGGCGGATAAATTTTGGAGGCCTCTTCCTACGCCTAGGAAACTTCACGCCGCAATGTTTGGGAGCTGCAGGTACAAAGTTCGCATTGGGTCGAAAAGACTGTATAAGCAAACTTTCGGCAGCGCGTATCATGGGTTCTTCACCACAATGTACCGGAAACCACAACGTCTTCCAGAGCGGCATCCGCCTGGCCAACTTGTATCTCAAAAAGCGCGCATGAGGGGCATGCTGCCGACGACAAAGGACCAAATGCTCAAACAAACGCTGGACCGGTCCAACATGTTCAGAACCTGTACGATGCAATCTAGCTATCCCAATGTATTGAAAACTCCTTGCAAACCAAAGATACAAGCAAAAGCCACGATCCAAGTATGTAGAAAAAATCTCCCGGTACCATGCAACCAGCTCCAAAGCATAATGAGTATCACCTATCAAAGCCATTTGTACATTCACAGTAAGCAGGGGCCACATACTTTTGGCCACCCTGCAATGCAAGTTTGCATGAAACCAAACCAATGTCTTTGCTACGAAAAGAATTGCAGCCAATCGTTCTAGCACTGCCACCTTTCGCTTCCACCGCATATGTGGGGGGATTAGGAAACCAAGCAAAAGTTCCAAACAACAGTCACAACATTTCAAAAACTTGGCACAATTCCCCGTGAAGCTTAAGCAGTTGAGGACCTCAAGCCAAACAAGGTCACAGACACGGCGGCAAAGATCTTCCAGCATCTGCTGCTCAAAGTGTATGTACTGATCAGGCCAGTCCCACTGAAAAGGCTTGCTCACTGCCGAGGTCACATTGACAGCAACCAAATACATGATGAATCCGGAGGATGCATGTACATACCATGTAGGGCCATACTTGTTAGTCACATTCTTGATCAAGGCAACCATTTTCTCAAAGAATACGCTGGAAAATGAATATGAAGATAAAGGACACGGAATATGGAAGAGAGGAAGCAAGCGAGCCAGAAAAAACCAGTATACTTGCACCACTCAGACTTCTCCAGCACCCGTAGCAAGGAGTCCAAACTCCCGACCGGTTTGTGCCAGGGATGCACTGTCTCAAGCGCTTTTACTCACTGTTTTTTTCTCCAGGCAGGGTAGCGGCCGGGGCGTCTGGACTTTGAGCACCGCATGGTACGACGTGGCCCCTAGCATGGTTTTCACCAATGCTTACCCTGGCTTTAAGCCAAAATGTAATTCACGAGATTCCATCGTGCAAATAAGTGAACGATATGTATGATGCAATCACAAATCAGGATGAAAGAAGCAAACCCAGCAAAGTGGGACAATTCAACTGGGCCGAGCATTCAGCTGATGACTCATGCCAAACAAATCGTCAACTAGCAGTGGATATCTCTGCACCAAATTTCTTTAAACCAACCAAATTGACAACACCTTCAGTGCTCACAAAATGGCCGTCGCACTAAAAGGTTCGTGCAAGGAAAAGGGGTTGAAGCATTGTGGCCACTGAACAAAAGGCTTCTACTTTGCAACTGCTTCCAGCCAAATCCGTAATCCAAAAGAGGACGTCTCATCAGAAAACCGGTGCATGCTGCAGATAAACACAGCGCTCTAGCCATATAGCCCGCATCATAGCCAAAGGTGTTGGCCAGAATAGCATTAGTCACTGGGTAATCAAAAGCAATGGTTTTCAGAGCAGAGAGGTATGGAATGGGCCAGATCTGACCAAGGGCCCCTGTGCTACACTGCGAAGCTCCGAAAGAAACTCCACAGATAAATGCACAACAACTCCACAGATAAATGCACAGTAAGTGGTTTGAACATGAAGAAAACGGATCTCTTTTAACCATGGAATTGCAACAGTTAACACGAATTCATAAGGAAATAGGTATTATATATGATTTGACCACGAAACATGTTCGATTTCGCCAGGTATATGTCGAATTATGTCGAGATCTTTCGAGATCGACCGGCCCACTTTTTCATCCATTGCCCTAGGAAATCCACAATCAATAATCCCCAAATGTGTCTTTTGTTTTGAATTGTGGGTATTTTACCCAGAACCTCCAAGAACCCAAAATTGGTGTGTTACCCCATTTTTAGACCTACTGTGGACGGAAGAAATCCGGCACCACCGAAAGGATGGTTGAACCCCTATAAATAATATGGATAAACCACCTATCAACTGCTGCAGGATTTCGAAACCATCCACCGTAAGTTTAGTACTTTTCCCAATTCTCCTGGGGTTTTTCTGAGGCTCATTCGGTACCCCAACAAATGGGATAATGTTGCCGCCAAATGCTTGATCGGGGATACCTGATTGATATAGTAATCAAACGTGAATTGCTGGAAAGTCCCTCAGTTAGTTTGATGATTTTCCCAGCTGCAAACCACTGCCATGTTTCACTGCCATGTTTGATTACCAAAGGGTAATTACACTCTTTGTTGCTTAAGGTTTAATTCCCACATTAGTGTTGCCTGAATCTCGAAACTCCCGAATCTTGCTGCTGAATTCCTCTTGTTTTATGCTCAACTCCCGATTTTTTGTTGCTTCAGTCACCATGTTTCTTCCTGAAATACCAGGATTGTATCAACTTAAGTCGTTTATTCATGAGAGTACCACAACTTCAACAGGGTTTAACTATATCGGAAACCCCAAAAAGGTTGGCCTAGATTTCCAGCTTTCCAAGCTTTCTATGACTTAGGGTTGCTATAAATTCAACACCATCATAGTAACCCTAAGTCATAGATAGAAATGTTGGTATATATTGCTGACTATGGGCTTTCTATAGTCAGCGATCCAGCCCATGATTTGTTCTACCGAGTCGCGCTTGGCGCGCAGGCAGTAGGTCTGGGGCGCATGGGTTGCACCATGGCATAGCAGGACATAGGGAAAGCTGCACCTCAGCAGACAACCTGAAGGGATCTTTGACCAAGAACAACTTTGCAAATTCACCAAGAAAACCGAGGATCTCTGTGTGATGCGGGGTAAGTTGCTTGACTTCAATTGGAATAATTCTTGAGTTTATGGTCCATGTGAATAACTATATATATAATTATATATAGTAATAAGGGCTTATGATATAGGGCAACAACAGCAACAACAACAACAACAACAACAACAACAAGAAGGGCAAATCCCCACATGATGGTGGAGAAGTTATGACACGTCACGTGGCATTTCTGCTGGCGCAAACGCGCCCCAGCGGGGGGATGGGGTGTTTTTTCGAGGTGACTGAGGTGGTGGATGATGGAATTTCACCAATCATCGAAAGACCAAGAGCCATAACCCACATGCAACCCATGGTGCTGGAATATTTATGAAACATGTGCCCGCAAAATCACCCAGTCAGACGTAGGTTTTTTATATACCAGCACCACGGGAAACGCATATGGGGTAAGTATACAACCATCAATGACCGGGATTAGTTCGCAGGTACCATCCAACTAGGCTCCCGGAGATCCCTTAGAAATCACCATTTATCCAGGTGTTCGGTGCCTGGCTGATCGATGGATGGGTAGGATTCACCCGGGTTTTACGTCGTAAAATTGGACGCCTCCGGGGATTTTTGGTGTTGGAAAGACCCCTGGCAATGTCTCAAATCCATAAGATCAACAAAAACTGCTCGAATCATCTACCCTCTGGTAAACTAACATAACTATGGAAAATCACCATTTTTAATGGGAAAACTCACTATAAATGGCCATGTTCAATAGCCATGTTGGTTTACCAGAGGGTATTCGTCATGAAATGATGGTAAAATATCTTCACTCTTTCTGATGAAATCCTCTTGAATCCCTAGTGTTTCAGGAAAAAAAGACCTATGTTCCATGGCTAGATCCAATGTTTGTTTAACAGGGGTTGGTAGATGTCCAAAATAAACATCACCCAACTCTTTTTTGGGATATAATCTTCAACACATATTTCAAGGTGATGTCCAAAATCCCCAAAAAGGGACATTTACCCTCTGGTAAACTAACAGTTTACGATTGAAAATGGCCATCGAAATCGTTGATTGTCCCATGAAAAATGGGTGGATTTTCCAGTTCGTTATGTAAACGTTTGCCAGAGGGTAACCATCATATATCCCATTAAATCCCATTAAAATACCATAAAATCCTATTAAGTCCCATTAAAATACCATAAAATCGCATTAAGTCCCATTAAAATACAATAAAATCCCATTAAAATCCCATTAAATCCCATTCAAATACCATAAAATCCTATTAAGTCCCATTAAAATACCATAAAATCGCATTAAGTCCCATTAAAATACCATAAAATCCCATTAAAATCCCATTAAGTCCCATTAAAATACCATAAAATACCATTTAGTCCCTTTAAAATACCATTAAAATACCATTAAAATACCATTAAAATACAATTAAAATACCATTAAAATACCATTAACCCCTGTTGAATCCATTTTCTTCTTGCTCCAATTTGGTGATGTTCGAAGGCACAGATCGTTGCAACGCAGCTCCACGAAGCGATAATCCATGCCTAACAGCGGAGTATGGCAGGATTTAACGGTCCAAAATTGGTTCAATGGTTAATATGTGGTTAATATACTGTTAATATATGGCTAATATATGGTTATAATAATGGTTATTATATGGTTAATGATGGATAATAATAACTGGTTGGTGGTAAAACAACCCCTCTGAAAAATATGAAAGTCAATTGGGATTATTATTCCCAATATAGAGAAAAATAAAAAATGTTCCAAACCACCAACCAGATAACATAGTTTCTGTGCATGTTTGAGCATCACACAGTGATTTTGCTAAGAAACATATGTTGAACAATCAAACATTGATTTTACTATGTGACCCACATATGTGGACTTTGACCACTAAGAAACTAGGTCAGCAGCGCATATATATATATATACTATATATATATATACACAATCATACATATTACATATGTATATATATATACATTATTATGTCATAATATTGTATATTCAGTTCCAATATGTTACACCTTTAATTTGACCAAAAAAAAAAGCTTCCCACAGCGGGCCCCAGGTGCGATAATCCTCGATGTTGCGGATCGTCAGATCAGAGACCCAGGTGAAGTAGTGCTTCAAACCTCCGGCTTTGAAGCAGTTGGGGAAAGGCCAACAATGGGGAATGGCATACGTAATTAGAGATATAAATGATATTATATAACTATAGATATTATATATATGTACATATTATATATATACATATTATATATAATATGTATATATATATATAATGTATGTATATATATATAATGTATATATATATATATATAATGTATATATATATAATGTATATATTTAATATGTATATATATAATATCTATAGTTATATAATAACATTTATATCTATAATTACGTATGTATGTATAGTAGAGGCTCAAAAAAAAATAGAAACATTGTCTTATAGATGATAGGTGTCCAACTTCCAACTCTTAGATCCATCTGGGGTTGCTGATGACGAAGCGATCACGGGAAATGTGCACATTCAATACACATGGCCAACGTGCTCCTCTTTGACCTACTTCATCTGGTTGGTGGTATACCTACCCCTCTAAAAAATATGACTTCGTCAGTTGGGATGATGAAATTCCCAACTGAATGGAAAGTCATAAAATTCATGTTCCAAACCACCAACCAGTCATTGTGTTTTCTACGGCTGAACCGGGGGAAAACCATGAAGTCTGCCCATAGATCGGAAAGTTGGGGGGTTTATGCGTGGCAAATGTTGCCGGTATATGTAGAGAGGAAATTGTGCCGCATTTCATCCCATTTGGACAGTTTGTTTTACCGAAAATCTTTGAAATATCCAGAAACTACTCTTCACAGGGAATTCTAACCCCAAATCCTCCAATTTGGAATCGAGACCTGCATCAGCGAAACAAGGTCCAACACAGAAATGTAAAAATGTGTTTTTTTGCACCAAACAACAAGGGATAGCGAAAGTTGGTATCTACGCCTCAGTGTTTCAGGTTACCCTTGAGAACCACTGAGCAACGAACAAAACTCGATTCGCATCCCCTTACAGAAATTGAGATCTTTCACAAAAACCATGGAAAAAAATCATCAAAATTGAGATCTTCCTCAAAACTTCCGGTTTTTCACATCCAAAAAACCACCAAAAATCGCCCATGTCGTTCAGCAGTTCATCCCAGCAACGTTTCAGGATCTCATCCAGCGGATCGGGGATCAAGGCCATCAGCGGTCGCGGTGCATCGTCTTCAGTGTCCTGGGTTATGGGGATATCATATAGAGATATCTATGATTTACCCTCTGGTGATGTCAAAATAGCTATTGAAAATGGCCATAGAAATAGTGAATTGTCCCATTAAAAGTGGGGATTTTCCATACTTATGTTAGTTTACCTGAGGGTATCTGTTTATTGATTGGTGTATTATGTGTTTTTTTTAAAACGATTCTTAGAAGTGTCAAGATTATTCAAGATTACTTTATAACATAAAATATGTTACTTCCATTCCTTATATATATATACATTATTCGACAGCTCGCTGCACTGCTTGGTGAACTGCTGCCCCGGCTGTGGGAATATCTATATGGGGATATATCTATGTGGGGATATGATATGGAACATAACTCACCAACAACTATCAACAACTTATAGCAGGCCTGGATAGGACATACATAGAAAGAAACATATAGAACATCAACAACTTATAGCCCAAATCATGGATAGACATATAGTATTATATATATATAAATGTGTTGCGAAGCTGGAAATCTATGAGGTACTTTAAAATCAGCATCTGATCATCCTGGATTTCCGTTCGTTTTGGCATCTAGCCTTGGGGCTTATGATAAAACAAGCCTCCAGAGTACTAACATTCTGCTTGGTGGTTTTTCGTCCTACCCCTCTGAAAAATATATCAGTCAATGGGAAGGATGACATCCCTTTTTTATGAAATGGAAAATTTAAAAACATGTTCCAAACCACCAACCAGCATTTGTGGGTATAACAGACCACAAATGGCTACCTAGCTACCGATGAGTCCTGAAAAATCCACCATTTTTTTCGACAACGGCGTCCCTTGGAAAACCGGCGTTTCGGTTCTCAATTTTAGCAGCAAATCTCGGCAAATCAAGGCATGGCTTTTTGGTGACTAACGATGATATTTACCGATGGTTATGACTAACAGTTCGCCATGGGATTTCGATGGCCCTAATCGAAATAGATGGTTTGCCTGGGTTTAACTATTCAAAATGGGTGGATTTTCCATGGCTAACTGTGAACGTCATAAGCAGATGATATATTTAACGATGATCCTATGGAAAATGTGCATTGTCCATTGCCAATGTGTGTGTTTTTTTTCTCCAGCATGTCATCTTGACATGGCCAGAACTGACATGTACCCTCTGGTAAACTAACGTAACTATGGAAAATCACCATGTTTAATGGATAAATCCACTATAAATGGCAATTTTCAATAGCTATGTTAAATTACCAGAGGGTAATCTTTTAAATTCTGAACGCGACCCGGTCGATGATCCCATTGGTACTAAAAGACCAGCAACCAGCAACGGAACCAGCCGGGTGACTGTGGCGATAAATGGATACAAGGCGCGAGAAATCCGCACCCCCAGTTATGTTTGTTGGTTGTTAAACCTCCCCAGAACATACGTATTTTTAGATACCCCAGAGGGTATCCAGAACAAAAATTTTAGTCATTTTCAGGGTCTATGTTTACACTATGTTTACACTCCCCCAAATCCAACATGGAACTGCCCAACGTTTTCGGGAGAGTACCATTCTGGGGTCTGATGCTTTCGCAATCAAACGTAGCTGCAAAATCCCCCGGACGAAATGGAGGTGTTCAGTGTTTTGTTGGGAAAAATTCATGGCAAAATCCATGGGAAAATACCAGAAAATCACCTATCAGTAGAGGTGTTACCCTCTGGTAAACGTTTACATAACTATGGAAAATCATCATTTTTAATGGGAAAACTCACTATAAATGGCCATTTTCAATAGCTATGTTAAATTACCAGAGGTGTTAATGAGAATTTCAACTCTGCACACGGTGGATTTTCCATTACCACCGTGCTGATTACCGGAGGGTTTTTCATCAATGTGGTCATCATCAATGTGGAAAGGATTCTGCCTCCCTCCAAAAAGCAACCATATGTGCCATGGTCAAAACATAGTATATGGGCCATGGTCATTCCACCATCATTAGGATATAATGATATAATATTATATCTATATATAATCCATATCAATTTTCAAACATGACGATCCCCTGTTGTCATTACTCGCAGATCCATTTGGCTGGTAGTATTAGTATACCCCATGTTCAGACAAATCAAAAAAAAAACTAGAATATTCTTGAACTGTGGATGGTTGCGAAATCCACAGTTAAATCCTGCTATAAATCATGGGATGTGTAGCTGTGTACTACCAACGGGTTTCTACACTATCGCACCAAGCGGCCGATTGGACGGCCTCCACACGCTCAGGGTCCATCAGATCTATCTCCAAGGTGGTCACTTCAAAGAAACCTGCCATCGATGCCATGGGAATCGGCACTGCATAGGAGGGAAAAGCCGTGCGTATAGACAGCGATTTACCCTCTGGTAAACTAACATAGCCATGGAAAATCACAATTTTCAATGGGAAAACTCACTATAAATGGCCATGTTAGCTATGTTAAATTACCAGAGGGTATATCGAAAGCAGATAGACATTATTAGGTCATAAATAAAGTTCATGGGAAAAGCGATCGACTTTCAATGACTGGTTGGTGGTTTCAACCATATGAAACTCAGTTGGGATGATGAAATTCCCAATATGATGGGAAAGTCATAATCCATTCCATGGTTCCAGTCACCACCAACCAGATGAGTTTAAAATATGATCAAAATCCGTGGAATTTTCATCGATTTTCTCCAAACATGATGAAACCATGGCCGACAGTTGTGGTTGCCCCCGGACATCCCAGATGGGTTTGGAGAAGTCACATGGCTAGATCAAGAGGTCAAATGGCCTGCTTTCCCCTTATATTTGATCTATAATGGCTTGGAGCAACCCTTGTTTTACGCAGTCAATGGCTTTCATTAAAGTGATTCAAGGAATAGGATGTAAGCGAAACAGAACAACATAGCCTCAGAGCTGAGGTGTAAGTTATCTGACTCTGGAAATGACAAAAACCGATTGCGTAAAGAAAGGCTATGTCCGCACCCTTTTCAACCCACATGGAACCCATTTGAGTCAGGCTATCTCCAGCAACTATAGCAACTCAACCACCCCCCAACCGTTCAAACTCAGCTTCAAGGCCGCGCCTCGTGGAAAGCTCTTGCGCGCGGAGAGCCGTTCCTCCGTGAAATAACCTCGGACCGGACAAAAAAAACAGCCGGCTGGAAAGAGTACCCTCTGGTAATTTAACGTAGCTATTGAAAATGGCCATTTATAGTGGATTTACCCA